GGGCGGGGCCTGTCTTGACATCCAGCTCCTTCCCCCTTCACCCCCCCTCATCTAGACAGCCTCCTCCCCAGAGCCAGCTGCAGGGGCTGGGGAAGAGCCAGCAGGTGCAGTGGTTCCAGATCTCCCCTCCCCCAAGTCTGTCTTGATCGACCGCACAATGAACGCGAGCCCCCAACGCGATGCCTTGGCCACCAAAGCAAGCCAGACCCTGGCGTGCATTCACCGATGCGTCACTAGCAAAACCAGGGAGGTCGTCCTCTTGTTTGACTCGGCCTTAGCAAGGCCCCAGCTGGAGTACTGCACCCAGTTTTCGGCCCCCTGGTCCAGGAGGGATGCAGATAAGCTCAGGAGAGGCCAGAGAAGAGCCACCCACCCAAGAGGCCTGGAGGGCAGGCCCTACGAGGAGAGGAGAGGAGAGGCTGAGGGACTTTGCCCGCTTCATCCTGGAGAAGAGAAGGCTTGGGGGGGCAGGGGGGGCTCATGACTTGGGGGCTGCCTATCAGCACGTAAGGGGGGAGGTGCAGCGGGCTCTGGGAGGACAGTTGCTCACCAGGGCTCCCCAAGAGATAACAGTCCAACAGCCACAAACGTCTAGCAGGCCCATTCAGACTCGATATAAGAAAAAGCTATGGTCCGAGCGTCCAGGGTCTGGAACAGACCCCCCCCCCGAGGGGGTGCAAGCACCTACTCTGGACTCATTCAAAAGGTGTCTATCTTGCTGGGATCATTTGATCCCTGCAGGTTTCCTGCCTCTCTGGCAGGGGGGCTGGACTCCGTGATCTCCTGAGGTCTCGTCCAGCCCGATGTCTATGAAATGTCTCCCGCTGCCCTATAAGACACAAATGTCCCCATCCCATTAACCCGCCCCCAGCTCCCCATAGCTCCAGCTTAGCCTCTGCCTCCCCCCCGCCCCAGCCCATGAGCCCCAAAGCCCCCAGCAGCGACTAAGTAGAGTAAGCTGGTTTTGGCCCTGCATTGTGGGGGGGGGTAGCAGGCAGGGGCAGCTCTGAGTCCCCACTCCTAATCCTGGGGGGAGACAGCTGAAGGTTGATGGATTCTCTGGATCCAGCAGGGTACTGGAGGGGGCTGGTTTTCACTTTGGGGTCCCTTCCCCCCAGGACTGTGACCCCAAGAAGCCCAAGCAGGGCATGGGGGCCACTGTTGCCCCGCCCCCCCCCCCGGTACAATTCACAGCAGTGAGATGCCCAGTGTGGAGTCAGCACCGTGTCCCCCCCCCTTGGAGCTGGTCGCGCTAGAAGGGCCTGACATGCAAATGAGCCCCGGCCTGTAAGAACTGTGGGGGGTGGGGCATAGGGCCCCTCTGCTTGCTGTTGATGCAGCCACTTCTGGGGGGCACAGCACAGCACCCCCTTCCCTAGGGCCAGGCAAAAGGCACCTGCTGCCCACTGGTGGCCACTAGAGAAATAGCACCCCCGACTCAGGGGAAGGTGTTGCCCCCCCAGGCAGCATGGGGACCCGCCCCAACTGAGGCTTGCATGAGGGCTGGCTGGCCCAGCCTGCCCTTACCCCACAGTGCATGTCACGGCCCCTCCGCTATGGGTGGGGGCAGTTCTCCAGGAGCCCAGGACAGACGGCCACTCTCTACAGCTTTATTGACAACAAGGGGGTGTCACAACCTGCGAAGTCATGGGGGTGCAGGGCTGAGAAACTAGTAGTTCGCTACACCCCCCCTTCTGTTGCCATGGAAAACAACCTGCCCCCAAATTAAAACACCTTGAAAAGCAGCTGACATCCTGACACTGAAACCCAACACGCACGTGCCTGGATGGGCCCTAGGGTCAGCTGGAGGGGGTGGGGACTCTTCAGACCCCCTGACTGGCCTCCAGGGGCAAGGGGGGGCTCCCAGCTCCAGCCCCACCTGGATAGCAGGGGGCTAAACCCCTGCAGGGTAGCAGCTTCTGCCCCATTAGGAGCAGAGCATTTGGCCCTGGGGGGTAACAGCTGGATGGAAGGCCCAGCACCCCCATGGGGGTGCTCTCTCTTGATCCTCTGCTCCTCTCCAAGCTGGGGGGGGGAGACACACCCTGCCCCCACTGCCCCGGGCCCAGCGACTATGTGCGGGTCTCCAGGGCGCTCATGTAGTCCTGCAGCGCCTGCAGCCGGGCGTCGATCTCGGCCAAGTCGGCTGGGGGCTCCGCTGAGCAGTTCTCTGTTGGAGGGGGGGGGAGGGATCAGT